GGATCCCTTGGCCTGGTTCTGGCCCCAGCCTGGAGCGCGCTCGTTAAGCCTGTGCTGATGTGTATACCACCTAGGTTATGCAGCCTGGAGGACACAGTTCAAATTTCTTCTACTGTTGGTTGTCTTTACCCAGGGGTGCTGTTCCTGGCTTGGGCATTTAAGCTCCCTTCCAGGGGCACTCTTGCTCTGGCCTGGCCAGCAGAGTGTGCTCCATGGGCTGGTGGAGCTCTCGAACAGTTCCCAGTTTTAGTGGGTCCTGTGGTCCAGGTGTTGGGGTAGGGAGTCTAGGTCAGGGTCTGGGGATTCACTCCAGCTCTGGTCTCCCTTGAGGGATACACTGTCCCCTGTGGGGTACTCACCCTGGAGCTGGTTGTTTCTGTGTGGTGTAGGTTGTCAGTTGTTGTTGCAATCCGAGTTCAGTTGGGGTGGTTGTGGGCTGGGTTGGGCGGTGGTGGCTCTGTGTGATTCTTTTCTGTCTCTGCCTCTGTCGAAGCTGTCGGGTCAAAAGTGTCCACACTCAAGCGGCCTCTTCGCGGGTTGTGATCTGCAGGCAGCCCCCTGTGCCTCTGGGGCCTGGGCGGCCCCGCCGAGTAGTTGCGAACGTGATCGGGTGGGTGGTCTGCCGACAGATCCCTTTGTCAAGCTGCTGGTGCCAAGCGGCTTTGGTGGGATGGAGCCTCTCTGCTCCGGTGGAGAGTGAGGGGTGGGGATGGGATCCTTGTGGAGACTCCCGGCTGGTAGGTTTCTCTGTTCCTGGCGATCTGCTGTTCTGCGAACCGGTACCTGGTGATCTGCAAGCAGGCCCCTATGACTCTGGGGCTCCGGCACCCCCCGCCGGGCCGGCTGGCCGGCGGCTTGGCGCACTGCCGCGTGGCCAGTAATGGTTGGGGGACGGGTCTTCGCTTTTCTCTGTTCTGAAATTCTTCTTTTCCTCTCTTTCTTTTTTTGTTATTTTCCACCTCTGGTTTTTCTCTGAGTGTTCGTCTTTTTGTTGTTGTCAGTCTCTTGGGGAGATTAAGTGTTGGAACTCAAACTCTCTTTTTGGTTGGAGAGAGCTGTGGCATTTCCCTTCTGCCCCGTCGCCATCTTGGTCCCCCCTCACTGTTGTTTTTAATGTACTTATAATGTACTATCTGATTTTTTTTCTTTTGTATGTCTACCCTCATTGTATAACTCCTTTTGATTCCGGTGTCTTGCATCTTGTATATACATTTTTCTAATTTGGGGAGGGGAAGGTAAATAACAATATGCTGAAATAAGGATACAGGTTGACCCATTGTAACAATGAGATTTACAAGACACTATGTTGAAAACAAACTTTGCAACTTAGGTGGGAAGAGGGAGGATTTGGGGAGGTAAGGAGGAAAAGAATGGTACGGGAAAAACAAAGGAGGGGGTAACTGTGTGATAGGAAATGTACTTATTACCTTACTCATGTAACTGTAACCCCTCTGTACAATATCTTTACTATAAAAAATATATATTAAAAAATGTGGGGCTTGAACTCAGGGCCTGGATACTGTCCCTTAGTGTTTTTGCTCAAGGTTAGCCCTGTAACACTTTGAGACACAGCCCTACTTCTGGTTTTCTAGTGGTTGATTGGAGATATGAGTGTCACGGACTTTCCTGCCTGGGATGGCTTTGCACCATGATCCTCACATCTTAGCCTCCTGAGTAGCTAGGATTACAGGCTTGAGCCACCAGTGCCTAGCTGACAGTTTTGTTTTGTCTGGTTTGGGTTGGTATGTTTGGTTGTGGGGCTTGAACTCTTCCTCAGCTCTTCAGCTCAAGTTTGGTGCTCTACCACTTGAGCCACAATGCTACTTCTGGTTTTCTGGTGGTTTATTGGCTGCTGACAGTTCTTTTTAAAATTCCTTTTGGTCTTGAGTTTTCCAGATGAGGATTTGGGGGCTAGAGATGGAGCTTGAGCATTTGCCTGGCAAGTGCAAGGTACCGATTTCAAATCCCAGTGCTGTCAAATGTAAATGGTTAAGATAAGGATCCTGCCATTCAAATTAGTGTTCCCTATAGAGAAAAACAAAGGGGTGTAGTGTATGCACCTTTCCCAAGAGAGACCCACTGCTCTTCAGAAGAACAGAGAACAATAATATATACCCTTCTACACTCTAGAGATTGAAAAATGAAAATACAGTGCCTAATTTTGCCAATAGGGGACTAGGGACCTTTTACAGAAATGAAAGCTATATTATTGCTATAATGAAGGCGGGAAATAAACCAACTTAAAGAGAAGAAAGTTACCCCCATTTGGGGAGTTAGAATGGAAAATTACAGACCAGCTGGGTTACTTAGCAAAACCCAGTCTTGAGGGGTAAAAAACAAAACACAAAAATCTTCCTTTGCTCACAGTTTCAGAGGTGATGGTTCTTGATTAATTGACTGTATACTTGTACACATGGGGGCAAAGGATGTCAAGATAGGAACAAGTGCAGAACAGGGTAATCACCTCATGCTGTCCAGAAAACAAAGAGAGACAGAAATGGGTTAGTGCCCCCATATCTTTAAGGTTATGTCCCCACAACCTAATTTCCTGCCACTAGGCCCCACCTCTTTTTTATTTTTTGCCGGTTGTGGGGCCTGAACTCTGGACCTGGGCACTGTCCCTCAGCTCTTCAGCTCAACGCTAGCGCTCTACCACTTTGAGCCACAGTGCCACTTCCAGCTTTTTCTGCTTATGTAGTCTCATGCATGCAAGGCAAGCACTCTACCACTGAGCCACTTTCCCAGCACCTCCTGATTGTACCATGGGATGGGAATCAAGCCTCCACACATAATCTGTGGAGATATTTAAGATAAAACTAAGCCAGATGCTGGTGGCTCACATCTGTAATCCTGGCTACTTAGGAGGCTGAGATCTGAGGATCAAGTTTCAAAGCCAGTCTGGGCAGAAAAGTCTGGGAGACTCTTATCTCCCCTGAACTACAAAAAAAAAAAAAAAAGAGCTGGAACTGAAGCTGTGGTTCAAGAGGTAGAGCACTAGCTCTGAGCAAAAGAAGCTCAGGGACAGTGCCCAGGTCCTGAGTTCAAGCCCCAGGACTATACCATACACAACACACACACACACACACACACACAATCAAACTATAGCAGAAGCATTTACAATAAACCTTATAAGATTTATTTTATGCTTGATAGGAAATGGATTCATTACCTTTCTCATGTAACTGTAATCCCTCTGTACAGTATTTTTACAATAAAATATATATTAAAAAGATTTATTTTATATTTTTTGGTATCAATACTAAGGCTTGAGCAGGGCCTCATGTTCTTGCTTGGCTTTTTTTGCTCAAGGATGGTACTCTAACACTTGAGCCATATCTATACTTCCAGCTTTTTGCTGGTTAATTGGAGACGAGTTTCACAGACTTTTATGTTCAGCTGATATTAAACTGAATCCTCAGATCTCAGTCTCCCAAGTAGCTGAGTCACCAACACTGCTTAAATAATGAAAAAAAATTTAAGGGAGGAATTAGAGTTGGATTATGAAGACACTGCAATCCTGAGAAAACTGGATAAATACAACTATTCATCCACTGCAGCAACCCATTTCAGGATTTTTAGGAAAGAAAGTATTTAATTTTATCTGAGTTTTATATCTCTCCTGGTGGTTGGAGAAAAGATGAATTAAAAAGAAGAGCAGTTGTTGCTGAGAATAGTTAGGAGGCATCCTGCTTATCCAAATGAAAGATAATAAAGGATGGTTTACTTCTGCTTGCCTTCCAGTTTATAATTCCTCAGGAAAAGAAGGCCTTTTCTTGTTCAGTGCTGTATTCCTGGAACATGTAGTGGCCATTCATAATTATTTTTTGAGTACTTAAGTGGGTAAAAGAATAAGCAAGTTAATAAAAATAAATAAATAAACAAGACAACAAAAAAATCAGACAAGTGGAATTTTATAATTTTCAATTTACAAGTGGAATTTTCTCCTTTTTTTCTTTTTTAGGTAGTACTGAGGTTTGAACTCACGGCCTCATATTTGTCAAGAAGGGGTTCTTCCACTTGAGCCACTCCCAGCCCTTATGACTCTCATTCATTTTCTTTTTTAATTGTTCTAGTACTGGGACTTGAACTCAGAGCCTCACACTCTTATTCAGCTTTCTTGTTCACAGCTAGCCTTTCTGCCATGCTGAATGAGTCTCTTCTAAATCCAGATGTTAAAATCAATGGGCAGTGTGATCCTATTAATTGCTGGGGCCTTTATGAGGTGATTAGGCCACAGAGGCTCTTCCTCCCATAGAGGATGAAAGCCCTCAGGGTTTCCCTTGGCTCCTGCTGTGTGAGGACTGGGGAGGAGAACACAGCCATCAGGCACCATTGTGAAGACAGATCAGCCCTCACCAGCCACATAGCTTGACCCCTCCATCGAAGACTACCCAGACCCCAAATTGTGAGTGAAAACATTTCTGCTCTCTATCAGTTGTCAGGTCTTAGGTTTTTTTTTTTTGTCAGTTGTGGGGCTTGAACTCTGGGCCTGGGTGCTATCCCTTAGCTCTTCAGCTCAAGGCTAGTGCTCTACCACTACAGCCATAGCACCACTTCTGGCTTTTTCCGCTTATGTGGCGCTGAGGAATCAAACTCTGGGCCTCGTGCATGCAAGGCAAGCACTCTACCACTGAGCCACCTTCCCAGACCAGGTTTTAGGTATTTTGTTATAGCAGCATGAATAGACTTAGACAACTAGTGAGTCACAGCTCTTGTAGAACAATATCTTTTTTTTTTTTTGGTGGTCATGGGGCTTGAATTCTGGGGCTGAGCGCTGTCCCTCAGCTCTTCAGCTCAAGGTGAGCACTCTACCACTTGAGCTACAGCACCACTTCCAGTTTTCTAGTGGTTTATTGGAGATAAGAGTTTCATGGACTTTCCTGCCCTGCCTGGCTTTGAACCTCGATCCTCAGATCTCAGCCTTCTGAGTAGCTAGGATTACAGGCATGAACCACCGGCACCCGACTTAGAACATTATCTTGTAGAACAAAATGATCCACAAAGGAGCTAGGTACGACTCTTCTTCTGCACTCACATTCATAGTGGTGTGTAGTGGTGACATTTTAACAATAATTGAAACATTATTAGGCCATTACTTCCCCCAATTTGTTGATGTCTGTGAAATGCATGTATTTACATGCATCTACTGGAGAAAACTACATTGAACAACTCTGGATTATATACTTATAAATAGTTTGACTTGAATAGCTAAAAGGCAAAGTTGCAAGCAGTGTTACATGCAGAAGTTGTATAGGCAAGACCTCCACATCTGTCAGATGAGGAGAGAACAGTTTCTCAAGTTCCGACAATCCCCAGAGTAGTTATAGCTGAGTGAAAACCTGAAGCACATAGAACTGAAGCCACATGTCCTGTTTCATCAGGGAAATTAGGTTGAAAGTAAGTATTCAGCCCACTGTATCATGGGGAGTGATGGTGATTAGCAAGCCATAAAGACACCTGCCAGAGCAAGTTCTGCAAGAGTACTCAGGTAGTACCTGGTCCCACCTCATACTCTGCTGCCCACCTCTTATTCTGCACATATTGGGCCCCAAAATGAAAGGAGCCACAGCAACTACCTCCATGGTCTTCCCTCCATTTTTAGAGCACAAAGAGAAATGGAGTACTTTCTTTGTGTCCCTAGTCAACACACATAATCCTACATGCTAGTTCCAGGGCTTTTGAAGTTCCACCTTGTTAGTGCATCCATTTGTAATCAGTACCATCCTTTCCAAAATACTTAGCTCAATATAGCACTTACACACCATCAACTTTAAATACCAAGGTTATTACAAGCTCTTTGCCCAGACCTCTGAGGTTTGCTTGCTTTACCCATTTCTACATGTCACTGATTGGTTATGTTCATTGTTTTATATTTTGAAATACCAAATTAAATACCCCTGCCTCTGGTCAGCATGTGATAAATGTTCTTATCCAGTACTTGTCTCAGTTTTCCAATTGCTTATAATCCCTTTGGGGAACACTCTAATTCTCATTCACATTTTCTCTGGATAAAATACTCTAACCTCGTTTGTTTGGGAAATGTTAGAGATATTTAGTGGCCATCAAGTTTAACCTTCAAGCAGACTTTTGGGTGTGAAAGAGCTTGTTACATGTGACTCTGGATAGATGTGTGTGTGTGTGTGTGTGTGTGTGTGTGCTGGTACTGCTTGAACTCAGTGCCTAGATGCTTTTCCTTAGCTTTTTTGCTGAAAGCTGACAGTCTACCCTTGGTCAATACTCTGTTTCTGCCTTTTTGCTATTTGGTTGGAGATAAGAGTTTCAGACTTGTCTTCTTGGACTGGCTTCAAACCTCCATCCTCAGATTTCAACCTTCTGAGTGGCCAGGATTACAAACATAAGCCCCTGGAGCCCAACCTGAACAAGCCTATAATATGCTACATTTTCTCTAATCTTGAAAGAGGGAAACTAAATCTGACACCTTTGGTTATTAGTGAGGGTTATTTTGACTAACATGTCTGAATGCCCTACTTATAGGAACACAGTAATTGTCTCATAAAACATGGACTTACTATTTTCACAACTAAAATACAAGAATTGTAGAATAAAACATGGAGAATTTTTTGAAGTGTGTTTTTCTTTTTGTCTCTTTAAGGTCCAGATTACATAAAGGATCATTTGCCCAAAGTTCATCAACATACCTCCTACATAGGAGAAAAGCGGCCAACCTTAGAAAAGACGGGAGATCTCAGATACTTATGGAGGGCAGCCTCTCACGGAAGCTTGCCACCAAAATACAAACACGAGTATGTTGGTGAAGTTGGTTGGGGGGCACAATACTCCTTCATCAATGAATCCAGACTTAAGAGTGGCTTTCATAGAAAGGTACTATTCTTAAATTTGTTCCTTGCATAGTATATATACTGCTTCCTGATGAATTCATTTTGAGTTTGCTTCTGTGTGCCTTGTCAGATGTTATCTACCATTGAGAAGTAATGGGATCCAGGTTTTGTATCCAGATAAATGTATGAATAAATGGACTTACTAGCACAATCCTCCCTCAGCCCTGAAGTACATAGAGAGCATATGTGTAAGCCTAGCATTTGGGCACTGCTTTGGAATGCATAAAAAGTTGCATGTATATGGGGACATTTGTATACCCCCACACTATTCCTATTCTCTGGGAATAGGTGTGTCAAGGAAGAAAATGCTGGACATAATCGCCAAAGCAGAAGATGAGTCTCAGGTCTTTAAAAACTTATTGAGCATGACTATTGTTGAGCATGCCTATTGTCAGCAGTTTAGAGTATGTTTGTAGAAACCTCATCTTCTGTCTGGTAATGTGGACCTGGATCTTCTTCCACAGCCTTCTCTCAAATGGAAAGAGGCAAGTGATATTATATTATATTATATTATGTTATATTATATTATATTTTGTGCAGATACTGGGGCTTGAACTCTGGGCCTCCCATTCTCCTTTAGCTTTTTTGCTCAAAGCTCTGGCACTCTAGCACTTGAATCACAACTCTATTTCCAACATTTCGATGGATAATTAGAAATAAGATTTTCATAGACTTTTTTGCCCCAGCTGGCTTTGAACCTTGATCCTAATATCTCTGCCTCCCAAGTAGCTAGGATTATAAGTGTGAGCCACTGGCACCTGGAGCCTCATTATGAAATCTTACATATGCATACTATCAGGCTGTTGTGATCACTAAATAAATGTTTGTGCAGTGCCAGGCATAGTGTCCAGCACACAGTATATGTTTCAAATCATTGCAATGTTGGGATAATTAATAGCAGCACACAGGAATTTGCTGAGCACAAGGCCTATGCCCATGTAGACTAGCTTGATTATGGCTATGTTGCTTTGTTGCTTGTTGTTCTTTTTTGGCTTGCTTCTCATTGTTTTGTTGAGGCTGGGCTTGAACTTCTGAACTCAAAGGATCTTCCTGCCTTAGCCTCCCACACCTGACTTGTATTTCATGTTTCAGATAAACAGAATGAATGTGTGGGTTCTTAAACTAGGTCCAACTCAGGTAATGAGGATGATAATCAGACATTTGATTATTAGCCTGGACACCAGCAAAGCCCTGTGGCTGTTATGGGAGGGCCCAGAACGTGGCTGCTTGCATTGTTGCAGTTATCCTGTAAGCCCACATTGGTGGACAGCTTCTCTTCTTTTTCAATCTTATACTGAAGGGACTCATTTCCTGTCCAAATGAGGAGTCCAACATTTCTTGGATGTTAAAGAAGGTTGTGAGTCCAAAAGAGATGGAGCTGAGGACTGGGCTTCCAGGAAGGTGGCTATTCAGTTTCTTTCTTCTGGGTTTCAGGCTGCTTGTTGTAAGTCCTGCTTTGTGTGGTGTGGGTCATCTGGTTCTCTTTGGGAGTGTGTGTGTGTGCCATACAGTGAATTTCTTTTCCAACATTGTGACAGACTCAGAAAATGTCCTGTCCTAGTTTGGCTTCCATTGTAAACGATGTAACTACCTACATTTTCATAGTCCTGGCTTTTTTTTTTTCCAGTACCAAGATCTGAACTCAGGACCTCAAGCTTGCCGAACTTACTTGCTTGACTGGGGCTCAACCACTCGGGCCAGCCTCCAGTCTAGCTTTTTGTTTTGTTTGTTTTAGATGGATTCTTGTGGATTTTTATTTCTAGGCTGACTTCATGATCCTCCAGATCTCAACTTCCTCAGCGACTAGGATTACAGGTGTGAGCTAACAAATCATAGCAGTCCTGGCATTTTTATACACTTGTGTTAGAAATCTTTGCTTTCAAGAATCTATCTATGCCATAAAAATCTTGAACAACACTTCAATGTTGCCATGGATTTATAAACAATAAGATTCTGAGAATGATTGCACATATATTCACTGAAGATGATGATAGAAGCAAAAATAGCCATCGCTCATTCACCAATGAAATCCTGGGTATACTTCCATTCTACATCCAATTATGCGTATAGATTCAGACTTCAAACCCTTATCAACCACTGCTTCAGGCAGCTACTGCCAACCATTGGACCTGGTTGGATTTGAGGACACACGCCCTTCCTCCAACATGTACAAACATGCTAAGTACTCTTGAGATCTAAGAGTGCTGGCATTCCCCAGGAGCATGTCACCGAAAAGCTGGTCCCTTCTTGGGTGTGGTGTCACCTCAGTCTGCTGCTTATTCATTGTCCAGGGCCTGGCCTTTCTGTGACCTCTGGAATGTCCCTTGTCCTTCCTTTCCCATCATTGTCCAGATCCAAACAGCCTCTGCTTGTTTCCGTCTAACTGTAGAGACTCCTCAGGGGCTCTCAGTGCAATTGCTCAAAACTCCAATTTTAAACACAGATTCAATTTTTGAGTCTACTGGATTTTTACTGTGCTAAGAGCTGCCTTTTCTAATTTGCTGCTCCAGTTCTGTCTAAGACTGGCAGCAAGAAAGCTCAGGCACCTCCAGTGATGTCTGGGACATAGCCTGGGGCAGCTGCCTCCTCCCTGGGAGCCAGCCTTCTTATGTGGGGCAGTTGCAGGTCTTGGTAGATAATCTGGCTTTGGCAGGAAGATAACTTCCATGCTGAATGACACCTGAAAATTTCCTCTCACCTTGCAGAGAAAAGAAAAAAAATCACAAGATCAGCAATCTCTGCCGGACATGTTAGCCATTTCTTCCTGGCTGTTACTGTTGGGAGGAATCATAATGCCAAAATCATCTGTCAGTCAGGAGAGATTGTTACTTTTGCCATACTCTCTGACTTGGCAGTAATAGTTTCTTTTCATTTAAGTGTTGTTGTTTTTCTTTTCTTTCTTTTTTTTTTGACAGTCATGGGGCCTGAACTCTGGGCCTGAGCACTGTCCCTCAGCTCTTCAGCTCAAGGCTAGTACTCTATCATTTGAGCCACAGCACCACTTCCGGCTTTTTCTGCTTATCTTATGTGGTGCTGAGGAATCGAACCCAGGGCCTCATGCATGCAAGGCAAGCACTCTACCACTAAGCCACCTTGCTAGCCCCTTTAACTGGGTTTTAAACAAAGTACATATGCTGGTTCCTCAAGTAGAGGAAGACAACTGGAACTATTCTTGTGGCTTCCCCCTAGGCTGATTGTGGAACTCTCCAAGCTGCAGACCCTTGGTCCATCTCCTTTCCCCAGGCCTTACTTTAACCTGACCCTCAACTGGTCAGTGGGCTTCCAGATGCCCAGTGTCTGCTCCTTTGTTCTCATCTCAGACAAAATTATTTAAAGCTTGCTTTTTCCAACAGAAGTGATGTCAACCAAATTCAATCACTCATTCTTCACTGTTACAATCCCAAAGACAATATTAAACAAATTAATCATAATATATTACAATCAGTTTAGCCCACAGTATAATAACTTTAAAAATATCCAGGGAATGCTATAGAAATTCATCCAGCCATATGTTCATACATAATATAGTAACTAAAATTTTCTAGGCTTTGAAATTTCTGACTCATTTTAATTGCTATAATTCTACTGCTGTGCTCTTGGGAGGTCTTCTTGGTGACAGTTTTATGGACATTTGAACAGATTTCTGATGAGATATTGTGTTTCTTAGTGGCCAGTGAGATAAGCTCATCCAGGGCTGGTTGGCTGTCTCTCTGTGAATTTATTAAGAGAACATAAACATGAGAAGAGCTACAATTGACTGAGTGTTTAATAAGGAAGGTACAAAGATTACAGAGGAGAAAACTGAGGCATGGGCAGGTAAGGTGCCTGGCCTAAGGCCATAAAACTAATAAATGTTAGGGCCTGGATTTTCAGCCTTGGCTATATAAAGTCAATTAATCTAGAGCAGGGTGGGACTTGGGGGGAGGGGGAGTGACAACATATGGGAAATGGAAGGGCAGATGGAGAAGTTCAACATTAGACTGGAACTGCTGGATAGAGAGCTTAACTTGTGGTCTTCTTCCACATGAGGTTCTGGTGAGTGGGTTGTGGTTGCTTCTGCTTACAGGGTGTGAGTTTTTTTCAGAGCACTCTTTTGTTCTCCCTGATTCCCATGACAAACTGTTAGCATCCAATGTACTACATCTGTGATATTAAAATAAATTGTGGAACTAAAAGTGGACCCCAGCCTATCACCATGCACCAACATCAACTCAAAATGGATTAAAGACCTTAACATTAAACCTGAATCTCTGAAACTACTGCAGGACAGAGTAGGAG